TTCCATCTTAACTAAACGTTATCCTTATTTTCTCTTTTTCTTTCCCATAATCTGCCTGCCGTATCCATGACGGCATTTTATCGCTGTCTTATTAGGTGTCTGATACCTAAGACAAGTGGTACAGTGTATACGCATATCATTTCACGGTGCTGTTTACATGTATACATGACAACCCCATTGTGCGTAGTTCAAAGTACGGAATATACAAGTGTTATTGAAATCGAATTCCGCCGAAATGTGGAGAAATGTGTGTGTACAATTCAAATTTGAAGTTCAATATACAAAATGCGGAATTTCTTTGAATTAATTCATAAATGGTAAAAGCACGTACAAGGTGATAATCATAAAAAAACATGCCGTACACCGCTGCTGTAACATTAAGACAAATAATTTGTATTCGGATATTTATTATGCATAACAGATCCGTAGCAATCTGGACCCTTTATGCGTAGGATTTCGAAATCAGATAAACACAGACACCTTTAAACATATCTATTTATCGAAACCTCCTACGTTTGGTTAACTAGATGAAGTTGGAATAAACTCGATTCAAATGAACTGCATCTCACTAAACATGCTAACCCGTAAAAAGCTTTTTCTCCAAAAATAAATGCACGTATATATGCTTATATAATATTAATACCGTCAAACCTGCTTTAGTGACCAACTGTATAAGAAGACCATCTGTCTACAAAGACCACAATTTTTGTTTCCCTTGACAAAGTTTTCTCATTGAAACATGTACTAAAGTTACCTGTAGTTAAAGGCCACCTGCCTATAAAGACTAATTTTCTTGTCTCCCTTGGGTGGTCTTTAGCAGTGAAACCTGTCTATAAAGACTCTTTATAGACAGGTTTCACTGCATTATCACAAGTAGCGAAAGATTAACAGCAGAATTTGGGCATCATAAAAGCAACTGTTATACATTGAATCGTGTGGTATTTCTTTAAAAGTATACAGACAGAGCGAACATTCAGTGATACAACTTTGTTCCAATACTATCGGGTTATGCAAGTTTAGCCAGCCGTACAAGAGACATCCAACGGAGCGAGGAAATCAATTTCAAATACATCCACTAACGGTGTGTCCGCACTGCTATCAAGACAACATTACAGATGAAGAGCGAAAGTAAATGTCAAAGTAATAACGTATCCTTCTACAGAACGGAAACATAATCAAACATGGTTTACCCTGCTTCAAAGCTTGGACAAATTGACAATTTTAGTCTTGCACAGTTACAGTTTGAAAACCACCTGATAGAATATTAGAACTCGCAACGATTCTGGTCAAAAAAATAAATACACACTACTAGGCTACTCCAGGTACCCGAATGTATTTTACAGTTTATATTACAAATGTTTAATTGGTGTATATACAGACCTTTCCCTTTTTGCAATATGAATGCCAGTCTGCGGTGAAAATAAATATAAAGAGTACGTCAGAGGTTCTTGGTAATTGGTGCCCGTGCGTCACCAAGTAAGTTCAAAACATAAATGGACATCAAGAAAATGTGTCCTTTTACTTCATATTTGATCTGATAAAAGCTTTTAACTTGCATTTAGGGGATTTTAAGTTACATGTAATACAATGATCAGATATACTAGCATAACATATTAGATGTGGTCTGTATAAAGGTTTGGGACACAATAGCATGGACGTGCCCTCATCTTATCCTTTGCGTACATTCCTGTCACCAAGATGTCGCCGCCATCTTTGAAAGAGAGATAATTATAGCCGAGTGATCTAGGTAAGGAGGGGAGGAGCAGTGTTAATGAGCTATCGATCATCCGATTTAGAGGCCTGGGGATAAACACGTCCCAGGTGTATACGAACGAATGGCAGTTCAATGGTAAATCAGGGAAAGGTGGGCATTCAAATAATATCGCCTGGTTTTGTGGGAATAATAACCTTGTTGCCTAGGTTAAAGACGAGAACATGTGAACATTTAAACCACCATAGCTAACCAAGTGCTAAGCACTATTTCCACCCAGTTATTTAGCTTGCCTTGAAAAAGAAAAATCTAGGATTCGAAAATATCACATCCTAATATACCTATCTCGATTCAACTCTCTTTCAATTACAGTCTCGAGATTCGTTAAAGAGCAATTTAAACTCAGTGTTTACATAAGCCATTTAAGGAAATTGTTATGAAATCTGAAAGAAAATGGAGCTGGCCTTATTAATGCAGTATAGTTTGGACATTCAATGTGTGAGTATTCCAACGAAAGTAGAAAAAACAGCCTGCAGGAATAATTATATTAATCTGATCTGTCCCAGATTGTAAATTGTAGAGACTGTAGATGGCGTCGCCAAGTGAATGGATCGGAGTAAAAATAGCACAATCGTTAAATCTTCCTTCTCCCTTTCCATTCCTGAGGCAGTTTTGAGATGCTCACGAATATAATCTTATTTCAACTTAATGAATACCGGATTGCCATTGATTACCATTAGACATTGAATGGTGGTCAATAGAATTTAATTTACTCTGGATTATATTTACAACAAACTATCCAAATGCACCTAATTTCCAGTGACCTATTTTGCGGTTTGAAATATTCAACTTAATTTTAAATATCTGCATTTTAAACTACGGAATCAAGTCAGGTTATACTTTTATTCACACTGTCCCTAAACCAATTAGAAAAATAATATGCGGTGGAAGCCAAATAGAACCGACTATTTCTGAATACTCGTTTTATCGACCGGAATAATGCGGAAAGAAAATATAATCAATTTGAAATTTAAGTTTATGACCATTCATCAAACTATGTAGTGAATTCAGTCTTATTTTAAACAATGTTTTTCCTCATAATGATAAAAAATATATCGAGATTTCGAGAAGAATAGATACACCTTTACACAAATTCATTGATTTGAAAATTATGTGTGCGTGTGTGCTAACGATGACTCCAAAAGCCTCTTATTAACACAGCATGAGGCTTAACCTCTGAATAAGTTAACGATAATGACTCTACTGTTACATTTCCACGGTAACGGCATTTGTTTCTTCGTCAACTGCCCATATCACCTGCCACATATGCATCAGCACCATGTATTACTAAAACATCAACCATATGCCTTTCGAAACTAAAGGAACCTGATCGTTTGCATCAAGTATGCAGTCATCGATTCCTTTATTCACTGATGGAAGAAATTTTCAATTGATTGTACGTGTTTTTACAAATGAAATCATACAAGCTTTGACAAATCGCCATTCATCCCTATGGATACACACACATGCTTGTCAATAGTCATTACGGAAACCAATTGGTAAAATGAAAATGTATATTATACAACATATATTTTCCTTTTTAAATTTGTTTTTCCCTTATTGTTGTTGTTGAAGTTTTCTTTAATAACAGCCTAATACCAATACCTCGAACCGTACGGTTCATGGATTTCATTCTAGTATATACCTTACTTTTGGAAACGAATTTTTTTACTGAGCGGCATTTAAGTAAAAAGGCGTTGTATGCTACACGTACATTTTGTGCATTCATCCGTTTGATAGACCTTTTAAGAGAAGACATCGAATTTCTCAGGCGTTAAAAATGTTTTGTCAATAAGGGTTTCATGAAATGCATTGCATACTCAGAGAGGCGCATGCAATTGGGTTTGCGTTGACAATGTAGACAGTCACTGCGAACAAGGTAATATTCTCAAATTAAATATTATAAAAATCCTGCGTCCATGCATACTACTATTCTGATCACGTATGATACCGAACCCGGATTTCTGAATATTGTCGACTTCCAGATCGAAACGAACCGAATAAATTTTGTCTAAAGATAATTTAAAGACCCTATCCGATGGAAATGCAACTTGATATAAATGGAAAACTGAATGAATGTAGATTGCGAGTATAAAGTATTTACCTTTTCATTATTGCACAAAAGCAAATTAAAACCTCATTTTCCGTACCCTTCCAAATTACGGGTCAACAGGGGTCAAAATTGCCGAGTTACAGTGACAACATAATATGTGGACCCGACCGGTATATAGCTGAGGCGATGAGCCTTGCTTAATTTACCAACTTCCGAGTTTCCAGAGAGATGATACTCCTCTGACAGACACTAACATGGCATATAATTGATATTATTGTAATCTATGGCTTATAAACTTTTCGTTGATATACAGTGCGTCCCAGAAGAAACGAAACCGAGAATTATCGACGTTTGATCATAACTTAATCACAATTATAATTGATGAATGACACATATTTGGAAAGCTTAGATCCTCCTCTTTAATCTGATGTAATACATATAATGCATATTTCACGCATGAGTGATTAAGATGAATTTGAAGAGAGAAAATCAAAAAGTAATTTAACGGACGGTATCTGAATTTCAAAGAGAAAATCACATTTCTAGAAAGTTGAGTTTCTGCCCTTTCATATAACACCTCAATCACGAAAAATGAGCTAGGAATGACAAAGTTCTGTATGTTTAAAGTAGTGCTTGCATTTCCATAATTTTATCAAACGAATTCATTTTCACTGGCTGCCTGCCTTAGCAACACACGGAATTAAGAATAGACTTAACTCCGTTTTGTCGACAATCGGCCGTAGACGAAAGACTTCATGCATGGCTGATTGTCAACGAAACGGAGTCAAGTCTTTTGACAATTCTGTTTTTTGCTACGGCAGGCAGCCAGTGTAAACGAATTCGTTTGATAAAATTATGGAAATGCAATCACTACTTTAAACATACAGAACTTTGTCATTCCTTGCTCATTTTTCCTGTTTGAGGTGTCACAATTATGAAAGGGCAGAAACTCAACTTTCTAGAAATGTGATTTTCTCTTTGAAATTCAGATATCGTCCGCCAAATGACTTTTTGGTTTCCTCTCTTCAAATTCATTTAAATCACTCATGCGTGAAATATGCATTATAAGTTGCATCAAATGAAAGAGGAGGTCAGAGGATCTAAGCTTTCCAAATATATGTAATTTATCAATTATAAATGTGATTAAGTTAAGATAAAACATCGGTAATTCTCGGTTTCATTTTTTCTGGGACGCACTGTATAATTCATTCATTTAATTTTTCAGTTCGGATATGGTCTTTAACTCATGTGCAACAATTTTGTTCTCTCTCTGGTCATGCCTTGATTTGGAGCACGAATATTACTGTCCATACGGCATCATAAATCAGCCTGTGATTCTTAGCAAAAAAGAAATTTCACGCCGAAGGCATATCTAATTTTAAAAAATTAGGATATTTTCAATCTGGATAGATCCTATCCTAGTCTAGGTACAGACGCATATTTTCCCTTTCGATAAGCAACGACTTAAATCATCTAAATTACAAATGAATAAAAAGATTTCGGTGTGGAACAACTTCAATCAGATATGATTTCAAGAAACAAAATGATTGCACCGGTTTCTTCAGCATTTCCATCGGAATGTGACATATAAGATTACAAGAGCAAACAAGCATACACAGATTAAAACAGAGCTTTGAATAAAAAAACTTATGCTACACTAACGAAAATGCATTACAAATAGCATATATCATGATATTACGTAATAGCTTGAAATGGTTCATTCGATTCTCTAGCCTTCGGAAATTTCGTCGATCTGTCCCGGAATCCTATGTGCTTCCAGCTCTGCTATCTTGGCTCCCGTAGTCCGAGAGCTCCCGGTGGTAGTAGTTGTGGTGGTTCTTTCTAGAAACTGGAAGAAATCCTCATTACCCCCTGGGAAGTCATCCTCGTCCTGCGGTTTTTTCCGCAGGATGAAATTCTTGCAGACCTCCCATATTCGGGATAGCTCCTCGCGGATGTGGCGATTGAGCATGCCGTAGAGGATGGGATTGACCACGCAAGAAGAGTAGGCAAACCATGTAGTGACTCGCTCCCATGCATCCTGTCGATGAAAGGCACCATGGATCACACCAAACACATGCAGGACGAAGTACGGCGTCCAGAGCAAAAAGAACGCGCCCACGATCAAGAGGATGGTCTTTGCGGCTTTCAGATCTCCACTCTGCGACGGTGATTCCGAATGCTTTGATTTCCTCCTCGCGAATCTTTTGATTGAGAAGCAGCTCTTCCCGGGTGACGTAGGGGTAACGTCCCCTTTGTCAGTTGATTTGGATCCACCATCGGCCCTTCCAGCTCCTCCCCTTGCTTGGCTGACTGTGGGCACGTCCCTGCGGGTTGTCGAACCGTAGTTCTCAACTGACGGTGTAGGGCACACCTGACGTGCCGCTTCTCTAGCTATCTGAAACACATTGATGTAAGTCACAACGACTATTAAACCGGGGATAATGAAACACAATAACGCCAGCATAACCACATAGATCACATGTGTAATAGATTTTTCCCAGACAAACGTGCAGTGTCCTCTGTTGGCATTGAAGTTATAGGAGTTGAGCCCGACCAGGGGTGGGACCGAGAGTACAGCGGATTGTAGCCAGATGTACACAATCAGAAGGATCGACCGATTCATGGTCATCTTTACTGCATAGGCCATCGGGTGAGCAATGGAGTAATAACGTTCAACACTGATTACACTTAAAGTCAAGATAGAAGAAATAGCGAAGAAGGTGTTGCTAAAGCCGTTGATTTCACAGTACACCTGTCCAAGGCTCCACTCTCCCATGGCATATGATGCGATGGAGAATGGGATGACGGTGATCGAACAGAGGAGATCCAGGGTGCAGAGGTTACCCACAAAGAGATGTGTGAGGGTGTGAAGGGCTGGTGTCTTTACCAATATCGCCAGGACCGTCGCATTAGCGATGAGTGCAGCTAGGTTGATAATGCTCATGATCAATAGTTCAAAAATTAATGCTACAGAGGGGGACGAACCCGGTTCAGAATCGGTAATGTTAGGCGCCATTTTGTCCTGCTTAAGATTTATCCTGCCTTGTAAATAAACCCAACACTACACCATGCAGCTACCAAAGATTCGCACTCACCGTTTTCGTTTCAAGAGGTCCACATTTATCTGTCATATCATTATGTTATGATAAAGATGATACAAAGTTTCTCAAAATAATGAAAGAGGCTTGTACGATTTTCAAATGGTACAATACTTGTTGTCAATTTATGTTTACGGCACGAAAGTGCGATTACCTGCGTCGATATGACCGCCGCGATGAGAGACAGTAAGGATACGGTGCGGAAAGAAGTTAATCCCGACTCTAATCAAGTCCATTCTTGAAGAGCATTCTGAATTAAGATTGCGGTGCACATCACTGGACAGCGAATCTGAAGATCAAAAGAGCGAATCAAGTTGTCCAGCAAGATTCATCAGAATTACATGGAGCTCGCGTTTCAGGTGGCTAATCAAAAGAAAGACGATACCTAAATCTTCTTGCAGTCTCGATGCCAATATAGTCGTGACATTAAACTATTAGTAGTATGGGCGGACAATACAATATATTAATCCATATAATATACATAAAATAACCTATAACATGTACACGAAGGTTGTACTCTGCATATTTTGTTCTTTTGTATAAAGCTGGACAAAGTCTTGACGCAAAATGTTTTAAACAGTGCAATCAAAAGCAAATTCGCTACACCATTGGCTAAAATCTACTGACCAAATTCAGAAACGCTCAGCGTGAATGACGCATTTAAACGGCGATAGGAATAGTCAAGCGATCACTCGAACGCAGTCACAACTTCTCGAGTCTGTTCTCTTCTCTTGCTTTTGTTTTCGATTTGCGAAAAAGTAAATAAAGGTACTCCAGAATGCCAGTTTGAAGATGCCAATTTGGAGAACCTGATGAGAAATCAGAACACTTTGTTCTTCCCCCGCCTGATGTATGCAGTCGACGAAGGACCTTATTTTGGTGATAAACGTTGCGCACTTTCTCGACCCCAATCAATAATTCTCCGTAGAAGATGAAAATGAAACACAGGCAAAGCGCCAAGTATAGGGATGCCTCGACCCAAGCTTCTCATGTACGCTCTCCTTTTTCGAGATGAAAGTTGGAAGTAAAGAAGAAAGAAATGCGTATCGAGAAGTAAATGATTGAGAACACTCTCCCGTATGCCATTAAATAATCAATACAACTGCGATTTCCGTAGAGTGTTGTGTTTCTAGTTTAAAGACCTCAGCTCCATGCAAATGATGCTCCTGTGATAAGTTTCCTTCTCTTGACAATAACACGATATCAGGAAAAAGATGCATGCATGTGCACATTCTTTTTAATCTCTCCCTTCTTCAAAATGTTTGCGAGCTGGTATAATAAAACATCTCCCAAATCCTTCCTTATTAAAACGTACAAGCTTCAATCTGAGATGTCCAATCAACGAACATTAACTTATCTGTTCTCCTGAAATGGATTGGCTTCTTCTCTTCGGTATTAAGGAGAATGTCACTTGCTATCAGAGAGAGAGAGAGAGAGAGAGGGTGGGAGAAGCTATGAATGACTGAGTGAGAGCCAAGTCCGCAGTTTGGCCCGCTTTATTCGACTCTGCATGTATACTGCACCCGCATCAATAATACAACCAGCGTTCAACTGGAGCATCTCTGGCGAATCGGTGACGTCACAATCACATCAGCAAAGACGCCGTGAATATTCATGCACTTGATGGTGGAAGGAATGTTTTTTTTTTTTAGGGGGGGGGGGGGAGCATTGCTTGATCACTTGAAGGGGAGCTGTTGGGTAAAAATGGCAAATGTCCAACTGTACAAGGAAAGATAGATGAACAGGGGAACTTTTTACATTTTACTGTTATCATTTGAAAGATTGACAGATTTCCTGTCAACAACTTGAGATTAATAGACGACAGACATACAGCCCACCTCTCTTTCTCTCTCTCAGCGACGCCCCTTTCAGCATGAGTTAGCATGGACGTGTCTAGGTACTGTATAAGGAACAGTTGACTAGTCTCATCTTGACCAATCATTCGATTCTAAATGTCTAGTACATGTCTGTTATGCATCCATCGAATCAAAGAGTGATATATACAAACGCAAACTAATATCAAACGCTTCATGAAAGCTATACGTTTCACAATACTAATGAATGTCTTGTCATGAGTTGTCCTATCGAATACTGAGCATGGAGAGTTTTGTCTTGATGATGTTATAGATATGATCTTACGTTTTACAGGCGCGCACATTGATATTTTTTAAAATTATTATTAGTCATTATAGAACAGTTGCCTTCGAGATATGCTGGAGCAATATAGTTATCTTTATGTTTGCAATCTCATTTTTACGATTTCGGAAGTAACTGCAAATATAATGATGGTAAGAATTTCAAAAATTGCGTAACGATACGCTACATCATCATGCTTATTCAAAAATATATCTCTGGGTATTAATCTGTCATAGACAACATATATTTGTTGTGTAATAGTGAGAGTGAAACTGTCATCCATGGCTTCCTGAGAATACATCACCTCTTAGCAGTAACAGCGACTTCAGAATGGCAATGAATATAATTATTTCGAAAGACGGTACATAATTTCTAGTTAGTGGTATTTGTTTATGAATGGGATCATGTATTTAGAACAATTATCCTATGTTAGTGTTAAAGATTGAGAACCGCAACGCTTGCCTATATATATACAAAATCAGGTGTGGTAAATAGCTATTATACTACAATTAGAACCAGGTTTACATTATCATGTTGTGTCTTCTCTTTCCCTTGTTATATGTAGTGCGTAATGTATATCGGTTAAGAGTTCACTTGGGCATTTCAAGAGAGTGAAAGAATTTCTCACTGCCTACATTTCCTCTGTGCCCGAGAATGAATAATACATATTCTGTCCAAGCAGTACGGCTCATTTCAACAACACACACTCACACTCACCTGCCTCCGGAGTCGGATGACAGGTGTGTGCGAGGGTTTTGCGGATGCGTGCGTGAGGGTTGTGCGGCAGTGCGTGCGTGTGCGTGATAGGCGTTCTACAGCTGGCGAGCAATGTGAACATACCCGGTGTACGAAGAAAGCTCATTAAAGGGTAAGGGTCTTGTTTTCGTCAGCGATACTCTTACTAAAATTGGCTTCATTTCTGGGACAATGGCGCCTTATTCGTTCTGTAGTCGATGCTTATTATCTTTCCATTTATAAGAGAGAGCGGTGCGGCAATTTGAAACATAATATACAAGAAAAACAAGTACGCGCAGTGCATATTTTACTTAATTCCAAAATCTAATTGTATTCCCCCCCTACAGTATAGCTTTTCTGCAGGGAACATTTTCTCTTCATCTCTCTTTGGACAATATATTATATTTTAACATATCTGAAAATAAATGCCTTATGGACATAGAGAGGATATTGTTTTAACATTCATGTATAAATAGAACCCGCAACATTTTTGTGTTTGTTTTTGAAAAAGACATCAATGTGATAATTATGATCAGTGTACGTAATCAAGGACGTAGAAAGCTCTTCTAATTTTCACGTTAATTATGAAAAATGATGATAATTCAAAGGGAATGTATATAGGTGAACAAAATACAAAATAAAAACATTGATATACTTTGAACCACTCATCTGTTGAGAGAAAATGTGCATATTATGAGTCTCGTGTATAAGTTTTTCAGAATTTCAGCTGGCATTGTGGCCTTTCGATTGCTCGAGACAGTTCAGAAGGCTAAATTACAGTGACATAATAGGTTGTGTAAATGTTGATCAAAGAAGGCATTACGAATTCGATCGCTAAACTTTAAACAAAAAAATCAAACCTTAGGCAAAGTCAGTGGCCTTTTACGTCATCTCTAGAAATAGACGAACATTAAAATGACATATGACATTGTCTGAATTATTTCATAGGCAATTCAATATGGTAATAACAGTGCCCTTGAGTTGGTTCCTTGAACGTTTTTGTGGTAGCGTCTATGGCTCTAATTTCAAATATGACGTACAAACAAATTTCATGTTATGTATCATTTTTACGATTGGCCATTTTTACTTCATTTGCTCTTTTTCGTGACAGATCAGTCGTTTTTTCAGATGATTTTTAACAAGTCTGCACTCCGATTTTCTGGTATATCTCGTTTCAAAATTAAATATTGCATTGATTTGAAGCTTTCCTATGTACGATCAGCGTCTGTTTTTAGTCTGTTTCAGGCTTGAAATTGCGATATCCTATGTCAGAGATGTTTGACTGTGGGACTTTTGCTGGGCTGGGTGGGTTTTCAGTTCCATCTGCCTTAAATTTTCTTGTATTAGGATCGATTAACCGAGACATCAAAATGGTTTTTCCAAGAAATGAATAGCGCAAGAGAAAAAGAGACAGATTGAGGGAAAGAGAATGAGAGAGCATGAAATAGTAGGCAAGAGAAAGAGGAAGGGATGCAGGGAGAGAGAGAGAGAGAGAGAGAGAGATTGAGAAAGAATTATCTGAGAATATTGAGTACGTTCTCTCTGGCAAGCAAGGTCATTTACCAGTATTATATTCACTTCCGAAAGCTTTGTTTTTGCAATATATTGTTTGTAGGCCGCTTTTTCCTTTATCATGTAGTTATTCAGAGAAAAAAAAATCTCCGTAATGAAAATGATCTGATTTTATCTATTATTTCGCACAAAAGCGGACATTGCCGGTAATTTGATCAGAAAACACGACCTTCATAACGACAGATGAAAAAAGGTACTGAGATCACTGCAGAACGTAACCATGGTAAATGTCTCGAAAGACGAAAGACTTCATGCATGGCTGATTGTCAACGAACGGAGTTTAGTCTTTTGTCAATTCGGCTCGTTGTTACGGCAGGCAGCCAGTGGAAACAAATTCGTTTAATAAAATTATGGAAATACAAGCACTACTTTAAACAAACAGAACTTTGTCATTCTTTGCTCATTTTTCCTGATTGAGGTGTCATATGAAAGGGCAGAAACTCAACTTTTTAGAAATGTGATTTTCTCTCTGAAATTCAGTTACCGTCCGCCAAATGACTTTTTGGTTTCCTCTCTTCAAATTCATTTCAATCACTCATGCGTGAAATATGCATTATACGAGTTGCATCAAATGGAATAGGAGGATCTAAGCTTTCCAGATATATGTCATTTATCAATTATAAATGTGATTAAGTTATGATAAAACATCGGTAACTCTCGGTTTGTTTTTTCTGGGACGCACTGTATATAATTTGGCTCGTGTTTATATCATGGCATTACATCCCTATGACAGGTCGTTGCGTATTTGTCAACAATGAAGAAAACTATTTGAGTATGCCTACCCGGCTCAATTAATCGAGACCGTCACTTTAAATCAGCTTACGAAAACATGAGCTGCATGCTTCCTTAGTCTTTAAAACTAGAGAAAAAAAAATCTAAAACGTAAGAACTACTGTGTTTATAAAAGAGTTTACTCATTTTCTAATATAAAATTGGAGAAAAACAAAGGGAAAAACTTTGGTCTTTGGTCACTGCGTGAACACAATTGTTGGATATTATTTCGCCTTAATGCGGCATTTCGTGCAAATGTAGGGAAACTTGTAAACAAACATTATCATTTTTTAGTTCTAAAGCATTACGTCAATGGTTCACTCGCAGGCGTGCAGCCTCCGTCTATGTATGGCATGTTCAGTTCTAAAAATAAAAAACTAAAAAGGAAAACAACAGTAACCGCATAACCGCTCTATCAATTTGAATAGAAGTATAATAATCATACTGGCTGATTAAACACACTCTCTTTCTCCATAAGAAAAGGGTAGCAATGCAATAACTGTACGTCATATTGATGCCATTCTCAAGCAGATTGAAGGGGATTACTTCACTAATTCATTTTAGCTTAAGAGAAACCACATTGCTCACTTAATTCTACTTCATTTGCGTGTTTATCTACGACTTGACTCTTCTCCACTTAGCGTCGAGCCGCTACGTACATCAGCTCAAGCCGAAAAGCTTTTATTAGGAATTCTACTGGGAATCACTACAAATAGCTGAGTTGTTAGAGTGTCTTTGCATTCCCCCTCTGAGACCGAGAAGTAAGGAGAGTTTGCGCGCCATTTGACAAGGGTAAAAACGCGAGGCCAAGGGCGCGAAAATGCCAAACACGGCTGCCTGTTTTTACTTCAGAACGTTGATCGTGACCATAATCAGTTTGATGTCACTTAATCTGGTTCGTTAAGCATTATGGTAATAAGAAGATATCAACTATCGAAATGTCCTTTTAATTCTAAAAGCAAAGTGCATTTCTCAACCCCCACCCCCTTATGAAGCGACTTATCTATATGCACTCAAATTATGCAGCGGACTTGGACATGCAAATATCCCTCCACGTCCGGACTTGTGAGTGATTTTTCTTTTGCATTTCAAGTTACTTTTTGGTGTTAGAAAGTGG